ACCCTCTTTATTTTAGAACAGTTGAGGATAAATTACAGTATGGTTGACTTGGTTTTTGGAGCTTGTCTTGTAGCCTAATGGATGTGCAGTGGTGGATCAAAGAGAATGGAGAAATTTAGGTTTATTTAATTGAGAAGAGGTTCTCAAACATGGTAAATTCTGCAGGTCGTTGAGATAGGTAAGGGAAGTAAGGTGAAATATGAACTTGATAAGAGCACTGGTCTCATAAAGGTATATGGCAAATTAAATTTCACCGTGCCCTATATTTGTTTAATTATGAGATACTGAAATCCTTTTGCATCTGGAGGTGGATCGTGTTCTTTATTCATCAGTTGTGTACCCTCATAACTATGGCTTCATCCCTCGTACTCTCTGTGAGGACAATGACCCTCTGGATGTCTTGGTCATCATGCAGGTGTGCATTCTTATTTTTTTCTCATAAATAACAGAAACAAATGTTAGATTCGAAATGTTTAAGAATTTATTGTGGATGTCCATATATGAAGTTTGGCATGGATTACATTACTCATAGAGCTTGAACATGAATTTGTTTTCACCAAGTGGTTGAAACAATGGTAAAATGAATTTAATTATATAGTTAGCTTTTTCATCAACAATGAATTGAGTAAGTTATATGTGTTTTTGATCTCAAGGATTACTTAAGACGGGCCTAATTGGATTGATCTCCTATCTGACTCCAGCAACATAACATATCCTTTGTTAAATGTGTCGGACGATTCATAATCGTGTTCAGTGCAGTATATTCTTCTGGCCATTGTCGTTATGGACGTGGTTAAATTCGTAGGTAGTATAGTCTATCTGACCTAGCTATCCTTAGTATTTCTGCACAATCATGTGGCACATGTAACTATAAATTTGAATCCTTATAAATATGCATTGATGGCTCTGCATCTTTTTACCCTATGATAGCGAAAATTTTCAAAAACTTTCTTAATAGAATGAATATCCATGAAGAATATTCCTCCGCTTTTAACTAGCTCCATGAACAAAACAGGAACCAGTTATCCCAGGGTGCTTTCTAAGGGCTAAAGCTATTGGTCTTATGCCCATGATTGATCAGGTACTTGTACCCTGATGTACTTAAAATCTTGATAAACAATGCCCTTCAGAAAAAATACAATAATTTCTTTGTACTGACAGGGAGAGAAGGACGACAAGATAATTGCTGTCTGTGCCGATGATCCTGAATATCGGCATTACACAGACATAAAGGACTTTCCACCTCATCGTTTGGCTGAGATCCGTCGTTTCTTTGAAGATTGTATCCTTCAGAGACTATATAGAAGTTAAAGATTGCTCTTTTATTTTTTGCGAAAACAATCCTGTTTCATTACTGCTAAACTTTCAATGTTTCTTAACAAAGCCATCAGACAAGAAAAATGAGAACAAGGATGTTGCGGTAAATGATTTTCTACCAGCCACGGAGGCTTATGAAGCAATCGAGCGTTCAATGTAAGAGTTTTTACTTTGGTAACTTCTTGCAGCTCCTGTTGCATTTTGATTACTGGATTTCAATGCAGACACAATTTACCATCACCAAGTTATTCCTTGAGAAAATCTTGCCAAGTTTTTACTCAAATACATTGTTTTCCTTTGCAGGAACCTATATGCAGACTACATAGTTGAGAGCTTGAGGCGGTAGTTTGTTTGCTTGCATTGCATGGACCATATAAGTGGTGCACCATTATGCATAATATAGCAGTGTTTCTGGGGAAAGAATAAAGAATTAATAGTACTGCCTGATGAATTGGTATTGAGATGATGGTGAAAAACACTTGCTTATGATAACATATTTTGATTATATGCAGTGCTAAGACGAATATTGTAAACCAAAAATAATGTAAGTTGTGTTTAAAACAAGTGCGAATTCAGTTCTCCTTTTTAGGTATTCTGGGAACTTGTTTGGCTTGACTTTTGAGAAGTCAATAGGTGAGACACAACAGTTCTTGAATTCTTTTGACTAAACTATGAAAGTTTATTTTGGGGGAAGCTGGCCTTATGAAACTTTCTCTAAAAATACTTTCGAAATATTAAGTTCTTTTAGAAATTAGCTTTCAAACAAAAGTTTAAAGTAGCTTTCCTCACCCCTCAACCCCATGGAAGACACTTTTTTCACCGACGGGCCCCTTGATTTCTCCGATTCCAATTTTGACGGTGAAAATGAGTTCTCATCCTCATCCTCCAAGATGCACCTGGCAAAGGAAAAATCCAATATCAAAAGGATATCTTACGTACAATCCTTAATGGTCGGTGGCAAAAGAGGAACTCTAAAGCCCAACTCGAGTCGTGATGATTGGTGAGCATCATATTTGTGTTAGTTTTCACAAGGATGCTAGGTTGGATTACCGAGTCCCGAAGTGGCATGGGCATATCATGTTTGGATGAGGAGGATGGGTATACTCTGGAGTATATTTATGGGAACTATTTCGAGAGAGTCAACGCAGCAAAATGGCAAATGATGGAAGAGAAGAAAGTAACGATAGTGATGTGAAGGGGAAGGAAAAATATGAGGACAAGGTCGAGAATATGGGTGAGGGAGCTGGAGGAAATACCTGCTAATAGCCTAAATAAAACAGTGAATTGTGAGAATAGACTTGAAAAAATAATCATTTGAAGAATAGCCTTTGAATTATTATCTTTTCACAAATACCCTCTTAGAGAATTTGCAACCAAAGCCATTACAATATATAAAAACCTTCAATTAGGTCCCCAAAAAAATATAGATATAAATCTTTAATAAATATAACCCCAAATATTATACAAAATTTTATTGATCTAAGAAATGCAACGGATAATGAATTAAATTATTTAAAGGAAGATCTGAAGAGTTTCTTTACAGAATATTTAGATTCAAAATTAAAATATAAAAATGTTTATATAGATAATAGAGCAATCAAAATAGAAAATAATATACATATTCAAATTCTTAAACTGGAAAGAAGAATTAACAAATCAAATATAATTATTAAAGAAAATGTTTTAACAAAAGACAGTGAATTTTATAATTTCTATTGTAATATTATAAATATTTATGAAGATTTTAATTGGATTCAAAAACTTAACCCCTCCGCTGC